ACCGGCTTCATTTCATTTCCCAGTTTTAGAGAGTAATAAGTTTGCTTTTGTTTTTTACAATTTCTTTGTGCCTTGAGGTTTCCTTGGCGACTGGATTTGTTTTATGGGGTAGGGTTGCTAGCCCTGTGCCCAACCTTCCCTCTTTATCCGGGCTTAGGACCGGCTAGTAACTGGTGAGCTAGTTAACCAGGCGAGATATATTTGATCCCTACTGCATATAAATCAACCGTCTAGATTTTCAGTTGCAACAGACCATGGTTTTCTACTTGTAGTGGACGTTCCTTTATATCGCATGTTTGAGTGTGACTTAATCTGGGATGTGCAATAAATGGTCAATACACATCCAATGTATTAGAATGAAATTAAAATAAATCCCAGTGAAATGTGCTATTCTGTTTATTTTGTGTTGAAACAAAACACGTCTCTTCATTATTCGCACTATATTATGACTGCGAAATGCTATTTAAAAATGAACAGTAATTTAAAGCAGTATGAAAAAAGTTCAATGAAATTTTTCTTTAAACGAAAACAACATGACACTTGGCCTATTAGCAAGGCAATCTTTGAGAAACTGTGATGTCTCAGCCACACCTTCGAGGGTGGTTGCTACTGCACGCTTCCAAGTGACGTTTCGATCCCAATTTCCAAACTTCGAATGTTCTACAAATTCGCCCGTGCAGCGTAAGAAGAAAGGGGAATAGTGAATACTGCTAGAAGGTGGGGCTTAGTGGTATTTGTAGGTAATATTACACTGACCAATCAGAGAGAAGAAAGTTGTCGCTTCGCTTTCCTCGCTAGGAGTCACAACTTCAAGGCCGGTGACAGCCACTTGGGAATAACGTAGTGTCAGTATCTTCAACTGGTCCGTTTAAAAGACGAATAGACGGGCAAAGACATCTAACTTTGAAGGATCAATATACTTTCGATGGCTTCTATCCTCAAAAGGCAAATGTGAACATAAATCGGACAGGTACATCACATAGTTAGTGTAACGAAGACCTATCGTTTTTGGGTGTATCGCTTCTTTTCGTGAAGCGAGAGATGACCACAAACAACCTGCCAGAAAATACCCCAGAAGGTCTCCCGAAATGCATCACTTTCATCCAATACGCCCACTTTTAGAGCATAAATAAGTATTGCAACACAGAATGGTAGTTATCGATGATGATGGGCAAAACCCATCTGTCTGACGAACTGAAATTAGGACTTGCGGAACATACATTCATAAGCGTTCACGCTGCACGGAAGACTTCGCTTGACATCCGTAGCTGTAAAAAAGAAAAAATAAGCGGGACCACACTTTGGTGACAAGAAACGATAAGAATGACCAACCAGGTTGCAGAGGTTGTATCCGTGGCTGCTTGTTTAACTCCAATAACCATATTGCTGACGCTGTATAAGCTCCTGATGAATTAAGGCATCCAGTCCAGCATCCTTGCCATCTGACACGCTGTCGTGCTACGTTGCACTGCTGGTAATTGACTCTCTGGCCAGTTAGTTAGAACGCATCGGTATCTTTGCACGACCTCGCAAATATACTATTCCATCCGATCACGCTATTGTGTTCTTTCTTCGTCTCGTATTCGTGAGTATGTAACGAGTTATTCTTATGAAGTCATTATTCACAAGAAGCACCTTGTGGATCGCATAAATGGAGTGCACATACACGGCGTTGACAATATGTGGAGTCGTCGTGGGAAGTTCTCGGGAGTTGCACCGGATCGGAAGAGGTTTCTACATGGTTTCTTACTGGTGGGTGACAATATAAGCGTTGGTGTCGTTTCGGAAACGATAACCCACTTGAAAATCAGGATATCTTTACTTTTACTTAGAGCAGATTCATGCGTTTTTAAATAAAATGCAACTTCCGCCTAATAATCACTTTTTCCCTCATGAACTTGATTCAAATCGGTCAGCATGCACATGAATGTGACTGGTCGTTAAAACCCTCTTGTTCTGCACTGCGCTTTCTTGGTGCCGAAATAATGCTATGTCTAAAAAAGAAAAATAAACACCTGGATACTCGGTGAGTAATCTTTAACGGCGTCGACGGTCGGCTTTAGCTCTCTTAGTTTGTCTAAGGGTATAGGCATGCACTCAGTGGCACCCTCCGTTTCTACGTCTTCGTTTGTCGATCGGCAGCAGCAAGCTGAGGACTTCTAGTCTCATCATTCATAGGCAGATATGTTAACATTTGTCCCCGAAATAGGGTCATTATTTATGACTAATAGGTGAGCTTTTTGTCTGAGTAATTTTTACCACATAACTTGTTTTCTCATTTGCCTTTCGTTACCAGTACTTACACGTAGGTGAGCTGCAGGTCAGTTAGGTACTGGCGGACATTGGTTTACGTAAGGTTGATCAAGTGTTAAGCATTACTGACATATCCGGACCATTTTTGTAGTTCCACCTAAGAACATCGATGACTGAATACTGCATAGAGTGAAGCGGTTGCGACTGGGAAATTCACTACATATTTCCTCTTGCGCTTCAGCACTGGCGATAGCGCTCGGCTACAATTACTTTCATCAGCTTCCATGAGTTTGAAACGAAGTTAAGAGACTTCATGCCAATTATTTTGCTCCAAGAATTTAGAGGATTTAGAGCTAAAAGACGATTTCGATCGCTACCATCTGCCTTCCGTTTACCGTTGTTTATCGGTATGACATCAAACAACAACGTAGACTTGTTTGGGACTGCTATGAAAGATACTTTTATCGCTTTTATTCAGCTGATAGCTTACTGGCATGTACAGTGTTTTGGTTTCTTTATCTAAAAAAGCACAACAAAACAGAAATTCATTTATTCTTGCAGCCATCACATACCTGTTCCAGCTTCACCATAGTTTTTATGCTTATGCCAAATGGTGTGCGAAAACTGGCTAAAATGTCATTTCTTGTTCCTGGACCGTGTGATGAATCACATTCAACCAATCTCCCTCAGACATTTTAAATCAAATGCACAGCAGTGGTCAGCAGAAATAAAGATTTTGAATCTTCTCACAGTATTCACCAATTTCGATTATATGCGCGATAATTGCCCATTGGCCCGAATGCACGGCACACAAAACTAAACATTGACAAACTCTCTTTGACCTCGGATCGCTGTTTCGCGCCGATCGAAGTAAACTTGTAGTGTTTTAAATTAATCTAAACCATTTGTTCACTTGCTTTTTGTCCTCTATTAGTTGTGAACAAGTTGGTATTAATGTGGCGTTACTCCACACCTAGGTGGCGTCTACGATTGGGATATAGGGTAACATGAGTTTGATTCTGAGGGAAGCATCAAGCCTAAGAGTTGGAGTATGTGACCATTTTTCAAAAGCGGATACTGCAGCATATTGCACATCAACCGTGTTGTCATGTGTCTGACTGCCTTAGTCTGAACTACGAGTCATACTCTTACGTCTGAATGTGGGTAAAAATGTCTGACGAAACAATACTTCAGATTCGGATTACTTTTGTTCAGATTGCTGTTGCATATTCCAAACAAGGTGTGTGCGCGCTATTTGTAAAACAATTGCTGAGGTGTCAGTCGCATTTTTTGCGTCTTTTTCAAGCGTGATTCCTATCTTTTTCGATTGCTGAACCACCGGGACAACATTATATCCTTGATTTGCACCCCACATCAACATAAACACATGGAACAGCTTCTTCATCACCCATCAACACAGAATTAACAGAAGTTATAGGCAGGTGTGAAAATTAGCAAAGGCACTAAGCTGTGACGAGTGTGTCAGTGTGAGTTCGAATCTGGACTCATGGCGACCATCGCATTAATTTTGTTTCATTTCAGTGACCTTCAATTGCCCAGGTATCTCCATAAATTGAGGTTACCGGCTTGTCTTAGCCCATATCTCCGCTGGAGTCACACTGCGCCTGCTCGCTTGGTGGGTCAGTGTTGTCTTACGTTGTGGAACTGAAAGTTGCAGAGATTTTTACCAGCCAGAACTTTAAAGCAACGCAGCGCGGCAATAGCCAGGGAGTTGCAAACCCTCTGCTCACTCTGTGCTTTGATGCAGCAAAATTTGGGAGAATACATATCCCATTTATGCAAGGTCTCATCCAGAATGCTGAACGTAGTTACTTATTCCTAACTTCAGATGAGAAAAACACTGTAATGTTTAGGTACCAAACTAGTGACAGTTTAGGATTTGTCCTGGTGCGAACTTGACAGACGCAAAGACCAATCACTAATTATTCGGACTTGTTATATACCCACGAATACGAGATCAAGGAAGAATACGATGGCGTAGTCTGGTGGAATAGTATATTTGGATGGTTCTGTCAAAATACTGATGCGTTCCAACTAACTGGCTAGAGAGTCGAATACGAGCAGTGTAACGTAACACGACAGCGTGCCAAATGGCGAGGATGCTTGACCGGGTGCCTTCAGCTTAGCGAGTCCAGTTAAACTATCAAGGCCAGCATAAATGTTGAATCTAGTCAAACCCTAGGCTATTGATTTTGGGGAAGTGTGTGACGCTACAACAGCTCTTCTCTATCTGCCCTTTGACAAGCTGTCTGAATCATAAGATGGAAAGATTTTCCCATTATCACACCGTTGTAAAAGGGGGAGCTTTATTAGTATGTTGTGTCTGAAATAATGATTAGGATGTTTACCTCCAACCTGTTTACTCATTCTAGTGATAATTAACCGCGGTGTAATAAAAGTTCACATTTGAATTTCGGCTTTAAAGTTGCGATCAAACACGCTACCAGTAGAACTCAGATTCTCCCACAGTGGTCAACGCTCGGTACTTATTAATGGATCCAAACTAATACAGGCTACTTGTACTATTGGATAATATAATATTCTTAAATCTGAAGACAAATAACATTGTCGCATATCTACTGCTCCAAGTCATCTACTTGAATTTAACAGAACTAAAATGTTAATTCATTCGATCTACTTGCTGCATTGCCATATTAATCGAAATAATGTGAAATGACACTATTCAATATCCAGCGTTTCGGTCATGGGCTTCAAAACCAAAAGCCGTAGATTCAAACCCTACGCTGCTTGTGTCAGCAGGTCGTCGATAGCATCTGTGTTTGGTGTCCAAAAGACTGGTATTTAAACTTGGTGATGGTTTCCAACTCCTGTGTTTCACACACAACATATTGTGTTTAACGTCATCGGAAACTGTATTCCACACATATTAAAAAGGTATACACCTATTTGACTTGCCGTACGGCAGGTGATTTATTTTTGTGCTGTGTGCGTAGCTAAACCTTGCAGTGGAATGAATTTCATAGGTACTTTTTTGTCTTGTTTCATTTCTCATATTCTCTGCACTTTTAAGAATTACTTAAGGTTCGGTCATGCCATTTCCTCTACATTTCCAATAGTTATAGTCATGACTATGACTACACTGCAGTATTAACTGGACGCCAGGTGTGGGGTCGATAAATTATCCTTGCCATTTAATTATTGTCCTAGTTGTACGTTCTTCATTATTTGTAATTCAGAAATAGTGGTTGTTACTAGTATTTAACCACAATAGCCTTCAGGACAATACTTCTGGTGCGTCAGGTCAGTCGATATTGACCGGGGTTTCTAAGACCACAGGTTATTCACTTAAATAAATAAAGACTGCTTTGGTATCACAACGTTTTTACATCCTGGTCAGGTGGGTTTAAACTACTTGTCTGAAAGAAGTGGTGCCTGAGCTGAGGTAGGCAAAGACTACAACTTAATTATTTTTTATGGATGTTTTAAAGCTGGGGTCTGATTGTTACTTATAGGTTAAACAAGTCAAACTACTGCACATATGATAACGTTTATAGTTATATACCTGGGGATCAATAAATTTTGTCTACTAATCCATACTCAACTCAGATGATATCACTCAAATCGAAATGCGGATGTAAAGGAATTCGAACCTGTGCCTTGTGCGAACATGACAGCATTCCCACAGCTGTATGACAGATTTATTTAATCATGCTATTCAGGTTCCTCACCAGACTTCCGAATTCACATTCTGCTCCTTCTGTAATGTCGCAGAAGCTGGGAAGCTTAGTATGTCAAACGGATCTCATATTCATGAAAATAGTTTCCTTTTCCCGGGTGTGGAAGTTATACATAATTTCATCGATGAGGCCGAAGAAGCTATGCTAATCGATTCAATCGATGGACAAAGATGGTTTCTCTCGCAGTCTGGTAGGAAGAAACAGGTAAGCATGAATCATATATATATATATATATATATATATATATATATATATATATATATATATATATATACTTGCTTCAGTTCTTTGTTCTCATGCGTCTCACATGTACAGTGTAATACTTCTGTCTCGTTAGAAAGCTCTTTATGGGAAGAGACCATTAAAAATTGACTACATAGTGAAACTAAAAGTATTTCCGATGGAACAAATAAAGTAGTAGTTTTGTATAGAAATATCGACTTATTGACAAACAGGGTAAATCAGTTAAAGTATTGATAAACAGCAATCTATAGGAATACAGTCTCTTGTCATGCCTACAGTTAGTTCTGGCTAGAAACAAGTCAGAACGAAATTACACGAAACGATTACCGTTGGTTCGTCGGAATGGGATTCCGTAGACACTTCGAAGATGCCTTCCTGACTGGCTTAGCTTTCGTACTTGAGCGTTGGAGTCGCATCCTATTAGACTATATCTGAACGTTTCACATTCTGTGGCAAACTTGTCAGCTTTTGATGGGACTCATCTATTGTATCATCCAAATAGCAATCAGTGGATGTGGAGGTGGAGATTACGAATGGGTGTTGGCTAGTTTCATGAACCCTACTAGTTCTTACGGATCCGTTAAGTTGGACAGCAAACAGACGGGTGTTGGCTGTTATCCAGTTGAGTAGTGGGCCTTCTGTTCGAGAACTTAATGTTATGCCTACACTAGGAAGTCCACTAGAGCTAGCCATCGAATCTCCCTGCGTCGGTAAAGTAAATTTCGGACATTAACCAAAAGGACCAGGTTAAAAGCCACAATGAGGTCTTCCATATCACACAGACACAGCATACATCCATGGCTTAAGATTCCTTGTTTCTTGCGGGTTATGTCTACTATCTTATATGATACATAGTTCTGACGTTTTGAACTCCCATATGAAATCGAAAAGGGAGTCTTAGAAGACTAGGGATGGTATTTCCCTATTTCCGATCGTTAGCAATGATCGCAGAGTGAGAGGTTTAGGAAGTTGTAAAAGGCTTCATATTGGTATCAGAAAGTGAAAGCAACGGAGAAAACAAAGGTAAAGGGGGTAATTTGCAGTGTTGTCTTCGTATAGTACTGAAAGTGTTCTGACAGTAGGCACTTCCCGGTTGCCCACACCATGAAAGGCTAGTTCTTCTTGCGGCACATTTAAATAAAGGGTCAGTGGATGATGCCGAAGCTCTTGAGACAACTGCTTAAGGTCGGTCACACATGGCCTTTTAAAAACCCTGAGGTTTCTTTTTGCTTCCCTAGAATCTGACCATGAAGTCATATCGCCGGCACCCTTATGCTTTAGAGTAAAGGGAAGTGTTTTCCTTTTGAGACCGACCTTTTCTAACTCCCACTTTACTAGTGTCACTCCTGTCCAACCAAGAGTACAACTTCGCCCTTGGACTCCATCAAAGCGCAGTAATTTAAAATATAATGGTAACTCCTTTCCATTCATTTTTCCCTTCTCTTTGTGTCTTCTTAATCTTGTTATATTACTTTGCGTAGTCCATTTCTTGGTGCCCTTACTGCACCATGTTTGTGTTCTAATAAATAATAATGAACTGCCTTCGGTCATATCACTATCCAACTGACCATTCTGGCATGGTAGGATATTGAATGAGCAAGTGTTCCAGTCAGCATAATTCGTTGGGTCATTGTGATATGCAAGTCTGACCATCAAGAGACACACTGGAAGAAATACTCTGTTTGCTGCTACGTTCAAAATTACTGCCTTATGGAAATACACGGCTATTTAATCATAAATGATTTTCTAGCTTGTGAATAAAGTAGCAGTCAGCAGTAACATGAATTTATTGCAATTGTTCCAAAAGCGAAGGTGAAACGTTTTTTTGGGTTTAATGACTGTCTCTAATATATTTCTTCCTGTTCCGGTGCTAGCGACAATTGTTTAGTGTTTTTTTGTGAATGTTTTGTTTACCAGCCTTACCAACTTCAACAAGACAATTCATGCAGTAAAGAAATCGCGAGTGAAGAATGGTTATTTGGTCACATATAAGCTGATCTGTAGTGTTTCGGATAACAGTGGTGAAACGGCATTTCGTCATAATTTTGTCATCTATATAGCTAAACTGATAGTTGATGGTTTGATTAAGCGATTATTTTTCGGTTTATAGAAGAATGATTCTCTCCTTAATTATCTGTAGTTTGTATTGATTGTTATACATGTCAAGTCACTTGATTTGAATATCGTAGCAATGTGTTTTCGGCATACTCACTTTATTAATATACGGTTGTAACACTGCACATAAAAGATGTTACTACACCTGACCACATGCCTTTTCAGTATTGTTTGTACTGTGTAGAATCACCCACTAAACTATGTTAAAAGTACATGTAAGTTTTTCGATACATAAGGTCAGCTATTTGCTGGAGCTGTGAACGTGTACGACCCTAAGTACCCTAAGTAGTTCAGACGCGTATTGTACATGCTTTGTTGCAAAATATACCAGTCTCATCTAGATGTGTCCTGGATCCGTAATTTAAATGACTATTTTGATTTGCTGTATGAAGTTTGTGAGGTGGTAGAAGTGTTTATGGCAGCGTACATCATGTAACATAAGTTACAGTTAATGTCATCATTGTAATGAGCTCCACTTTTATTTCGCCAGTAGTCTCAAGCAGTGTGTCGTTTAGTGCTTGCATATTGACAACTTTCACCTGATGTACTTCGTTATCTTATTCGTTTATTGTACCACTGCTTGTACTGCTTTGTCAATATTGTCATTTCATGGCGTTATGTACTTCTTTCACAGAACGAAACTTAATGTGTTTATTTACATCCCTATTTTTCAATAAAATTATCTTTCAGGATTATGGGCCTAAGGTGAATTTTAAACGACAGAAGGTCCATATTGGAAATTTTACTGGTTTGCCGGCATATTGTAAATTTCTCATTACTCGATATAATAATAGATTAAAACAGAGCACATTTCAGTCAGAATTTCTTCCAGTGGAACTGTGTAACTTGGAATATGAGTCAATTCGTGGTGCTTGTATCGCACCTCATTATGATGATTCATGGCTGTGGGGTGATCGGTTGGTGACGGTTAATTTATGCGGTTCAACTTGTTTAACTTTCACACTGCCTACAAATGGTTTTATAGGTGAGATAAATGATGAAATTAAACGTATTCACTCCTCTGTACCGGAAAATACGCTAACAGATGCGGTAAGCTTGCTGCTGATTATGCTTTTTATAGATGACATAGTTATACAGGTGGAAGAGTTATAGAAGAAATATCGAATACAGTCGGTTTAAGTTAGGTCAATATTTTATATTTACTTAGAAAGACATTTCTGACAGTTGTATTTTCGTATCACTTTGGGCCTATTTTCATAAATTTCCTTGCTACGCATTAGTTGTGATTTCGTATTCTATCGTTGAAAGTTACGAGTCATTCAACTTCTATTTTTCCATCACAATCAATCTATTATGGACTAGTTGTTTACCTTTATAAATAGATGCGTAGTAGAATAGAAGGACTGAAGCTAGTGAGGTTTCGCTAATATATTTCCTTTTATTTATTCGGTCGCTCTTAGTTGCCAGGAATTCATAGTCACGTAGGCGTGATAGCAGAATATTTCCACCTATAAGACAGAATCGCATGGTTGTAGATTAACTCTGTTTACCGTTATAACCAGTAGTAACTGAAACTTGAGTAATGTCGTTGTTAACCAGATTTTAACTGTGAACATTTAGATTGGTGATACGATTCTCCAGCCACTGAGCTGTGAAAGCTTTAGTTTCAGTTGAGCTGTGACCTAAATTTCGCGACTCATAGTCTAAATACTCTGAAACACCGGAAGGGTTGTCAATATTCTACTCGTTCAAATTCTTACAGTTGAATTCACTGACCATACATTAACATGTCAACTAATACCACCTTTCTGCTGTTTATTTCCTACTTGGTCTACTGGTATCGCTTTCTAGTTTCGCTAGGTTAGAATTATCAAGAGAAAATCTGCATAAACATCTAGTTTGACATTTATCAATTAAACTGGACTTGGTATGGAAGTATATTTGGGTTGTGAAAGACCTTCAGTTTTCATAGTTCATGTACCTTACTGCACAGTTTTCTTTGAGTTTGACATGAATGTAAGTCTTTAGTAGTTTCGGCTCATGTCCACGTGGTTGACTTCTATCCACTGGGTCACAGGATGAAACCTCGTTTGACCTACCTATTTAAGCATGTAGATGGCACTGTAAGTCCGCGCATATTAGACTTAAGTAATTGCCTAATGCAATAAACTGCAGTTGATAGCTGAGTTGTTATGTAATTCATTCCAATCTCTTTTGTTGACTTCCGTTTTCATTCGTGTATGTCTTCTAGATTTACTATTGTTATTAGGAATCATATATGTATGATCATAGACCACTGTCTTCAGTATGCATTTACTTCTGTGAAATATTAGCGTGAAACGATCACTGTTGATTCGTTGGAGTGGGATTCCGTAGACACCTCGAAGATGCCTTCCTGACTGGCTTAGCTTTCGTACTTGAGCGTTGGAGTCGCATCCTATTAGACTATATCTGAACGTTTCACATTCTGTGGCAAACTTGTCAGCTTTTGATGGGACTCATCTATTGTATCATCCAAATAGCAATCAGTGGATGTGGAGGTGGAGATTACGAATGGGTGTTGGCTAGTTTCATGAACCCTACTAGTTCTTACGGATCCGTTAAGTTGGACAGCAAACAGACGGGTGTTGGCTGTTATCCAGTTGAGTAGTGGGCCTTCTGTTCGAGAACTTAATGTTATGCCTACACTAGAACTAGCCATTGAATCTGGGGACATTCGTAATGGCAATCCTAAACACTGACTGCAATGACCATGTTGTGTCAATTTATAACCAAACTCGGGTCGTGTATACGTGTCTCAGAGATAACATACATCCATAGCTCGAGATCTTAGAGTTATCCTGAGCGGTGTCTGCTGTCAGATTCGGCATAGACTTCGGACGTTAAAGCTTCAATATTAAGTCAGCAACGGGGTTTTAAGATCCAGAGAATGAGGTTGAGGGGTTTGTAAGGCCCTCAATATTGATATCAGAATGTGAAGGGAAAGGAAAATACAGAGATAAGAAGATAGGTTGATGTTTGACTGAATCTTGTATACTACTTAAAAGCTCTTTGGCAGTTGACACTTCTTGGTTGTCCACAACGTGGAAGTTGTTCTTGCAATGTACCTGAAATTGAACATGGTTTGTGTGGCTGCGAGCCCGTGGAACATGTGTTCAGGACCGATCAACCTTTTTCAGGATTTTTGGTTTACGATCTGGTTGTAACGCCGTATAGAGAAAACCTATACCGCCTACATCGGAAAACGACACCCCTGTCTTCCCACCAGGAAGGCAGTATGAGAATAATACTGTTGCTCATCCATGGGGGACTCCTCACTGCTGTCAAACGCCTGTTCAGTCAGCAGTACATTTTCGTACTCAGACCTATTATAGCATAGTAATTTTCACTACAGTGGTAACTGCTTTTCGTCTCACCCCTATCCAAATGACCTCTCTGGTATGCCAGAACCTCGAAAGAACAAGCATCCCAGCGAACGTATCTCGTCGAGTCATAGTGATATGCAAGCCCCCATCATGCAGTAAAGGTAACAGCTATTGGTCGGAAAAATACTTTAAACTTCTAGGAAGTTATTTTTTTGTAGTGAGTGTTTGCCCTAACGTATAGTGCAAAACCAGGTTCAACAGTGACAAGGATGAAAACTTTACAATGTGTTCAAACCCACTACATATGTTGATCGATTGTTTTTGTTAATACTATTAAGACAGGCAGATTATTGATCTTATTAATAAACTGGAAAAACTGAAGGTCCAGTGAAGTATATGACCACCATTTTTACTCAACCTTGTCATTTCATTTATATAAGTGTGAAACTTGCGCACTGTGGGAGAATGTAATTCCATATTAGATTTGATTATTTGATACAACCCAACCGATAGCTGCTACCTTGACGGGCTTGCATATCACAATGGCCCAACGAGCTATGCTGGTGGAACACTTGTTCCCTCGAGGTCCTACCATACCAGAAGGGTCTGTTGGATAGTGGTTAGACGAAAAGCAGTTACCGTTGTGGTGTAAATTACTATACTATTGTGGGAATCTGGGGGGGGGGAAGTCGTACTGCTGCTAGCTGGATGGTGTGTGACAGCAGTAAGGTGTTTCCGTTGGATGACCAGGAGTGCCATGCTGATGCTGCCTTCTCAGTGGAAGGGAGGGTCAAGAAAAGGTCGGACCCGAAAATAACACACTCCACCATACCCCACGGTCTGCCGGGCCGGCCGTGTTGGTTCATTTGTCGTTTCCTCTCGACCATCCGGCCCCAAAATAACAAAAGTTCAAAATAATCATGCACAGAAGGCTGCGTGTGACAAGCCTCAAGCAGATGTCCGATGGGCTCTGCCGTCACACAAATCTCTCCTCGGTGTGGGCAGTCGGGGAACGTCAACCGCCCTCACAACTCGATCAGCACTCAAGTTTCCTCAGACTGCTGTCCACCTCCCCCATCATTACCTTCTAATCTTCCTTCACGTCTCTCGACTAACGATACTACATCATCTTCAATTTCTCCTAGATCTGCAGCCTTCGACAACGATCTGAGTTCACAAAACAGCATCCGTGGTCTTCTTAAACCACGCTCCAAATTACATATTTGAGCCTTCAATGTCTGCACCCTCCGTCAGACTGGTCAACAGGCTTCGTTGGCAAAGACTCTAGCATCTCAGGCCATGGATGTATGCTGTGTCTGTGAGATACGCATACAGGACCCAAGTGCGGTTATTCACCTGACCTCCCCGGCCAATCCGTGAATCCCCAAAATTCAACCTTCGATTTTCTGGAGATTCGATAGCTAGCTCTCGCGGTCTTGCAGGTGTAGGCATATCATTAAGCACTAGGGCAGAAAACTCACTTCTAGACTGGATCCCAGTTGATAGTCACCTCTGCGCTATTCTACTGAACGGCACAGTGAGAACTAAAAGGAATAGTGAGACTCACTGTTGTTTCCTTGTAATCTCTGCTTACGCACCCACTGACTGTAGTTCGGATGAAGTGAAGGACGAGTTCTACCGTAAACTGTCTAGCCTCCTTTCGAAAGCCAAACGTTCAGACGTGGTGGTTGTTATGGCTGACTTCAATGCACAGGTGGGTAAACTGAGTGAGGTAGATTGGCGCTTAGGTGGCGCTTTCGGAGTCCGGGCTGAACGTACAAATAATCGCCTAGTACAACTGTGCTCAGATAACCGCCTATTCTTAGATAGCACAAATTTCAGACATAAAGAAAGACATTATCTGACGTGGCGTTCATCGAGCTCAACTCAGCGATGGACACAGATGGACCACATTGCCATTAGTCATTGCTGGAAAGAATCGGTGGGAGACTCCCGCTCCTTCTGGAGTACGTGTTTGAATAGCGACCATGCATTGGTCCGAGCGCTTATATGCATGCGTCTCAATGAATGTAAGAAAAATTTGGTAACAAAACCCCTACAACGAAAACGCCAAAACCGTGTTCAGTGAGTTGGCTAGGGAGTTATCGGAACAGAAGACTATCAATCATCCAGAAGAAGCTTGGTGACATCTCCAGTCTGCTGTCAAAGCAGCGCTGAAGACTGTAGCCGACTCCGAAAGAGTCGCTAAGTAAGTACGTAAGTGAGTACGTCACCTTATTAAAGGCTCTCTACTCGAACACTTATGGGCTTGTTAGAGCCTATGGTGATATGTCTGAGGAGCTGTACTCGTCAAGAGCTGTCCGTCAAGGGTGCCCACTGTCTCCATTCTTATTCAATTTTATCATAGATATTCTTATGGAGGTCTCCCTCTCGTCACCTAATTACACAGACGTTGAACTAATCGCAGGAGAATTTTCGTTAGACCTAAAATACGCAGATGACTTAGTCCTCTTAGGTGAAGATGCTGACAAGATGCAGTTTTCTGGTCACCTTGAGTGCCAATTTGAGAATGGTTGGGATGCGTTTCTCACCACCCAAATGCAAATTGTTGCTCCAGGATTGGTATTCAACGGTGCCACGGCTAGCAATAGAGAGTGTAGTGGTTGAGTGTGTTGACCACTTCACTTACCTGGGAAGTAGGATCAGCCCTGATGGCTCAGTGGCCGATGAAATCTCTGCACGAATATAAAAGGCCCGGCTGACTTTTGTCAACTTATGAAACCTGTGGCACCGCTATGATATCCAAGTGTCTATTAAGGGTCGCATGTACTGCACAGCAGTCTGGTCTGTTCTACTGTATGGCTGTGAAACATGGCCATTGAAGGTGGAAGACATGAGAAGGCTTCAGGTGTTTGACCACCGTTGCCTTCGTAGTATAGGCTGTATTCCATGGTGTCGTCACGTGAGTAACGCAGAAGTCAGGTGTAGAGTTTTAGGGAGAAGAGGTAAGTCAGTTGACATGGTTTTGAAGGTTCATCGACTGAGATGGTTGAGACATGTGTTACGTATGCCTAGTTGCCGATTGCCTCGTCACACAATGTTGGCTGAAGCAGGTCCAGCCTGGAAAACGTGTCGAGGTGGCATCAATGTATGAAGTTTCCGACTGTTAGTTTGAGCCGTGTGGGGCGATGTAGACTAGCCGGTTGGGGTCCGAGGGACAAGAGGAACCAGTGGTTGGAGAGTGCAGGTGATATGGCCTAGAACCGATGTCAGTGGCGCAGATGTATACACACATTATCCTCATCGTAACGCTATACTTCTCTCTCTTTTCGTACTTTATATTTCTTTTGACCGAATTTTCTTTTCATCTTCCACTTCACTGCCTTTTTACTTGATGTACTGATATGAGGTGTGGCAACTCGGACCGTTACGCAGTAATGCCTAGTCCTATGTTGATATTGGTTTGATACAGCATAAAGTGACCATAATATAATTGATGATTATAAACAATGGTTTATGATCGAAATTTCACCAGGTAAAGAATACTGCACAACTATGCGCTGTATCAAATAAACAAATCTAATATGGAGCTCTTCTGGTTAATTAGCATATTAGAAATGAGGCATGGAAATATACAACACATTCTTTATCGGCTGTCATCTACTTCAAATTTGTTTCTAAGTAAAGGGGAAGCAAAAGGTTTTGAGTATTCAATTTTTACGTGTTCAACTCTGAATTTTGGGATCAACGTACAAATTGGGTGTCTTTGGCAAGAAAACGAGACAGAAGTTGCCATTTATATAATGTGTGCTTCAGATGATCCTACGAGAGATGGGTTCAAGCGCCGTACCATACGTAATTTCGTGTTCCCGTGACGACAGAGTATCAGTCCAACTAATGTTTACTAAATAAGTTAACATTAAGACATTCTATGTTTAAATACTGCGTGCAACTAGTGTTTACGCAGTGTTCAGTCACCTTTGCCAGGTGAACTGCCTTCATTACATTGGTTTTGTATATATCTGAGGATTTTTTAACTTCATTATACTGAGCTATTTCTGTTTGCATAGGTATAAATGACGATCTGTTTCCTAACTTTTTTTCAGTTTTGTGTACGTGTACCACTGCACAGACGTTCACTTATAGTTGTTAGCGGACCTGCACGATATTTGTGGCAGCATGAAATCAGGCGATCAGATATACCAACTAGACGTGTTGCTATGACATTTCGTGAATTGAGCGGTTTGTTCACCCCAAACTCTCCTAATCTAACAAAGGAACAGGTCATTGGAAAACAATTACTGGAAATCGCCAGCACTTATGATGGGCAGATATGTAATGGACAGAACCTGTAAATTAGTTGTAAAAATATATATTGATGATAATTATCTATTTTATGAATATTTTGCTAGGGAAAATCTGTAGTCGGTATAAAAAATGAATCGGTAATACGAAGTACAAGCAGAAATTGGTAGTAGTATCTTGCGAAGATTGTTAAGGCCATTTCAGTAGCGGTAAATTTTAGCCGAATTACATGGGATGTTTTGTATCGGAAACCATAGAGGACACCCCCTGGTTTTGAAGTGTTACTGTAAGTAATATTTGTTGCCCGTTACGCTAAAATGCTGTAAGTTTAAGCAAAAGTTGTAAAAAGAATTGTTTTGTAATTTGGTACACGGCATTCCTAAGACCTTGCGAATTCAGCGTTCAGGTTTTGATGGAATGTTTATGACGCTCAATTTTCGTTCAGAAAGCGAGAAAAACGTCCAGATATTTTACACATGTTGCAATTACTCACCCAGGGTATTACGCACTGATTACAATGCCCTTCCCCATAAGCATCACAAGACTGCTGTGGTCATTGATGTTCTTTTTAAATAATTGTTCGTTTACGTTAACTTTTCGAATATGGTTTACTTTCATTGATAATATAATAGATACTTCTGATTATGTGCGTATCCCCACTAATGAGCACCAAAGTTTCCCCTCCAAAGTTCCATAATGGACCTGAACTCATTTCTTGGAGTTGTAGCTTATCGAGTTGACTTTGAACCATTGAGTCACCGGTCAGAACACTGCTCCGCCTGCCAAGGGTCAGGCAGCCAGGTAGTATCACTAGCCCTCACACAGTAGGTGTGGCTCATCGCCTACGGCACGATTATGCGGACAAGGTAGTTGAGTGAATTTTGATTCTTATTCAAGTCAAGCTCAACATCCCAACCTTTTCCAAACAGTGACTGAGTTGTTAGAGAGCACTGGACTGGGATACGTTCATCAAACGTACTTTAAAAAAAACACAATACACCTTCAAACCCAAGTATATACAGATAATTGCTTGCTCAGTAACATTATATTAGCAAAACTTTGGTCAAAATGTGCAAAAGTAACATCACGGTTGCATCTCTGATCGTTTGAAGATTGCGTAACAGAGGTGCTTTGTAATGCTCTCGAATACACTGGGAACATTTGTTTTATTATTCAACCTCGAGACAGATTGAACTACACAGCTAAAGAATCCATGGAAGACTGACTCTTCCTAGAGAACGTGTTTACAAAGCAACTAAGCGTTGGTTTCACCATCCCTAATTAACGTCGGGAAACTACAACTGGGATATCATTCCAAGCGAAGCTCTATGGTGTGGTAGCCTAATTCCATCTCCTGTCTGCAGTTAAATGAACGATAAAGACCGTAACTAATTCTCATAGTAGTTGGGAAGGGTCAGTAGGTTTCAAAAGCTTCTAGTGAATTAGTGTATGCAAGCAAACATTTCTTTAGGCGTCGATCACCATAAGGAGTGGAAGTAACTCGAATGTTGACCAACGGAGTCTAAAGAGATCGAACATACGTGTCAGTGAAACTATAGCGGAGAATGGGTGTGATTTACTCTCAGGAGGAACGACTGGACTGATGTCTGAAAACTTGAAGGGACAGTTTAGCTGGCCTTAAGGTTCTGTTCCATCGCCAACTATCTAGTCAGTTCCTAGATGAAACATTGAATCAGGATCACCAGCTTTTGCAGGAGTTGGGAAGGCTGTAAGTAACCTGAAACAAGGAAGAGTAGCAGGAAACACAATTGACTAGCACCTGAGGTAATTTGGCATAATGGTCAAGGATTACTAGTGGAATTCTAGGTCTTATGATTATCAAACATATGAAAGCTCCAAACCAACGAATGCAGGAAAGCTGGGCAGGTTTCAAACCTCCTACTCATTTCACAATACAACTACACTTATAGATACCCGACACCATAGATTGAGGAACGCTGTTGCAGTGTGTATCATTGAAAGGCGACTAGCTAAGTGCATTACGCTACTAAAAGCTTAATATTCGAAAACTTGGTCAACAAATCAAAGCTCAAAGTAAGTAGTGTACCTAAAGCTTACAACGTGCATACACTGGGCGAGAATTGGACAGCATGCACACCTCGCCAAAGATTTGATATCTCCCACCACGAAAAAATACCATACCTTTGAGACGGGTTTTCGCGACACGCGTGTGGTTATTAGACTGACACAACATGGTCATTGCAGTCAGTGTTTAGGATTGCCATTACGAATGTCCCCAGATTCAATGGCTAGTTCTAGTGTAGGCATAACATTAAGTTCTCGAACAGAAGGCCCACTACTCAACTGGATAACAGCCAACACCCGTCTGTTTGCTGTCCAACTTAACGGATCCGTAAGAACTAGTAGGGTTCATGAAACTAGCCAACACCCATTCGTAATCTCCACCTCCACATCCACTGATTGCTATTTGGATGATACAATAGATGAGTCCCATCAAAAGCTGACAAGTTTGCCACAGAATGTGAAACGTTCAGATATAGTCTAATAGGATGCGACTCCAACGCTCAAGTACGAAAGCTAAGCCAGTCAGGAAGGCATCTTCGAGGTGTCTACGGAATCCCATGCTTACGAGGATCTTGCTGACAACCCCTTGTTTCTGGTCAGAACTGACTTTAAGCACAAGCAGAGACACTGTCTCACAAGGTGTCCGCTGACATCAAACCGACCATGGACACAGACCATATAGCTATAACCTATCGTTGGAGGACTGTTGTTCTTCCTGAAGTGCCTGTTTGCAATCTGACCACACGTTATTATGAACATGTGTATATTTGCATTTTACTGGTCTCAGAAAACTGACAGTAGTCAAATCTGAATGGTAAAATGGATGGCGTGAGCGTGAAACCCGTATCTGGGAAGGAGACACCTAAGCATTTATCGCAGATATACTTTACTGATCATTCCAGTTTATAAGGGAGATGTTTTTCTGCTACAACTGTAGGGGAATCAGCTCGATTAACATTGCAACCAAGATGTTAGCGTTTTTCCGACACCTAGACAGACCTACAGCCCAGGAAACTGGAGAACACCAGGCACGTTTCTGACCTGGACGAGGATGCATCGATCTGATTTTCACCGTTCGTCAGGTTCTGAAATACAGGCATGCTTACCAGTAGCCAACTCTTGCTTTATTTATATCTTGAAGGTGGCGCTTGACTCTGTCGACCATTACATGTCGTCCCAGTGTGTAACTGCAAAGGGAGTCCCGAGCAACTATGCATTGCTTATCAAGGCTCAAACTCATGCAGCCGTGTAACGACATATGGACAGTTGTCATCTGAATTGACAACAACCAGCGATGTCTGCCAGGATGCCCACTGTCACAGATCCTGTTTAACTTTGTTATAGACATACTTCTGCTTCATTTACTTGAGAAGTAGCATCAGTCTGAACGCTGTTTGCTGACAAAATATTAGCTTGGATAAAGGTCTATTTTTTGCATTTACCAACCTGCATCAACTCCGGCGCCAGCTGGCGAGATATTCGACTACCTATCAAAAGATGAAAATACCGAGCTGCAGTCTATTTTGTCCTGTTATACTGCTGTGAGACAAGGCCATTAAAATTAGGAGATATAAAGATTACATGTTCTTGACCATAGGTTTCTCCTTAACATCGCTCGCGTACGGTTGAATCCCCATATGAGCAATGTCGAGGTCAGGCGAAGGGCACTAGGCAAGAAAGCCAAGTCAGTCAATGAGGCTGTGAACTTTTAGTGACTGTACTTGTTTAGACATGCATTATGCATGCCAAACCACCACGTGAAATTCTAGAAGTTGGATTGCGTTAGGAGGCTCAGGATGATCAGACCAAGGCGTGGCACCAGTAGCATGATGAAGCATTTGATTGTCGATATGAGCCATGCAGGGTGGATTAGACTACCTAGTGGGGGCGTTCAAGACCCCAGGAACCAATGTTTGGGGAGTCTAAGTGATATGGCTGAAAATCGGTCACAATGGCGCACATATATTCTCTCTGTGACGTATTCTAAAGCTTGAATATTTGTCCATTCTCTCATACAACTTTGTCTACTTTTATATTACCCTTTTTGTATATACTTGTTATTTTTATGTTACGTTGAAGTGTGGCAACTTGAGCTAGAGGGGCCTGTAAGAGGTCCTACTTTGATTTTATTTAACTGTTTTCATAATAGGACCTTCGTAGTTATCAGCATCTGCTAATATCTTATTCACCGTAACGTAGCTTAACAGATATGAATAACGTTCAACATATTAGCTTTTTGGAAGGGATCCCCTTTCTATAAGTTCCAACTATTCAGTTCGAAAAGATTTATAACAGGACACAAGTTAGACAAAAGTTTGAAGATAATGAAATCGATGAAAGAAAGAATAGACATTAAAATCAACTAATTAGAACAAGTTGTTTGTGTATAAGTAGTTGGAGAGCGAACTAAGGAAATTACGAAACCAGAAGTGCATGTTGATCATTTTAAGTTATTAGTCTTAATGTCTACTTCTAAAAATGATAACAAGTAAGCATCAATTAAAATCAATCAGTTAAACAAGAAAAGTACTTTTTTTCCAGGTATTGACTTAATATACAAAGTGATATTGACATTCATAATAACGGAGAATTTGAAACTCATGTCACTTTAAGACATACATTTGAGAAAATTCATAAGAATTGAGTTAGGATTATATAGTATATTACACTTTTTACGCAAACGATGTACAGGAGAAATAGTATATGACAGGATCAGCATTTTACTTCTGTGGGAATTAAACCATTGAATTTGACTGCCCGAGTTTGCTCACGAACTATACATAAGATTTTCCGAAAAAAACAACCATAAACAGATGAAGAAAGAATGGGACATTCATAATTTAAGTTGTACAATAAGTTTATCATTTTACATACATCGATGTCAAAAAAATCCAGACAGACACCATAGTCTTAGAGTGGCTAGACCAAGCCATGGCACCAGTCTCTTACCTTTGATCTGAGTCGTGTGGTGAGGTGTACACTACCTGGTTGGGGTCTTCAAGACCACAGAAACAAATGTTTGGGGAGTCTAGGTGATATGG